ATCTGGTATTATTATTTCTCCCTTTTCTGTATCCAAAATCAAACCATAAAATTTTGGCCTTTGTATCATCAGTTCTATATTTCCTTTTTTCATATGTCTCATTAATCCTTCTTCTCTCATATCCATTAAAATTATCTTGTCTCTTTGTTGAATTAATATTTCTCGTGATGGATGTGCAATCCAAAAATCATCCACATGGTTTCTGCAATAAATTCCCAATGACCGCCAATGTCCAATTAGTGCTCTCATCACTTTTGAGAAAATCCATATTGCTTGGCTTAAATCAAATGAAAGTACTTGATAATGGAACCATTTTTTTTCTAATATTATACCCAATAATCTTTGTGCTTCTTCCTCCATTAACAAATGATGGTAACTATCCTTTAAGTCTATTGTGATAACCCACCAGTTTCGACCGATCATTCTTAGAAATACTCATAACCCTTTGAAACGGAATGGCTTTTCTGGTAGAGTCTGATTTAATCTTCTTAAATCTACTACTAATCGCCATAATTTGTTGACTTTCGGGATTACAAATATAGGACTTACTTTGATCAAACATGTTGGTTTTTCTTCTCTTGATCCAACCCACTTTATTGCACCTGTTGATTCTAATCTCTTTAATTCTTCTTTTATCCAAACTACTTGTTCTTGTGTCATCTGATATTGTTTTTGTACTGGTAAACTCACCAGGAGTAATAAACTGTGTGGAAATAATGGTATCCTATTTTTTAACCAGCTTAAGATTTTCGGTAATGCCTTTATTTTCTCTTTCCAATATTGAATTACTCCTACTTGATTCAAACGACCAGTTACTATTTCCTCTTCCCGAGTGTAGTCAACTTGTATTTTGTGGATTATTGGATTTTGTAAATGATTCATTTGTTTGTCCTGATTTAAAACTTCGTGATGATAGACAGATAAATGCATAGTGATTAATTCCTCCACAGTTGTTACATGTTCCATTTTCTTGGTTTCGTGAATTTTGGTTTTTGATATATAATTTGGTTTTTTGATTGTAGAATATGTTCTTGTTAACAAATAATCTTGCCTCATAATAGTTTCCTCTTTTTGTTTGATTCTGTCCCTTGTATCCTTTATCTCTACGAAAAAACTGTTTCTCTGTTATTGTGTCTCTCTTTTTTCTTTTCTTTTCTGCCACTATCTGTCATGCATTATTTATTGCCTCTGTATCATCTTCCTAGTTATTATACTTTGATTGAGGAAGTTCAACTGCCACCTCCCAACCATATTCGTTTGCTACTCTTAAAATCGTCATTCTGTCCTTTGCTCTTTTTTTAGCTAATTTAATAAAAGAACATACTTTTTTCACTGAATCTGCATTTAGTGCCAGATCCAGATCTTTCTCAATCAACCTCAAAGTATTATAATCATACTGATCTCATGGTTTCTTAAATCATTTTTCTGGCTATACATTTTTGATTTTTGTTTTGTAAACGTCTCGTCCATCTTACTATTTACATCACTCATATCCCTCCTTAATTCTTTAATTTCCTTCAATAGGCTTCATATTTCTAAACCATCCAGTTGCTTCACTTTTCTTTTTTTATGGTCCGTTTGCTCAGCATCACTCTAATAGGGTAAGTTTTCAGATGCTGATATTGATTTTGTTCTTTTTAACTGCCTATTATTTCTTATCACCCAGTCACCTTCTGTTTCCTCCTGCATTCTTATGTCTTCTAGATCAGTACTATCTTGATATTGCTGTAATAAGCTATGTTCAGGTTCCTCCTCTAGTTTATATATTTTGTGTTCTGCTATAGATAGACATGCTATTATTATTTTCTCGATTAGTTCAGCTTTACTTCCTATGTTTCTTACACCCAGTTGGGCCACAATAGCTCTTAGAGTATTGATTGACATTTGTGTGTGTTTGACTTCTTTTCGCTTAAGTTTTAAGTTCTCGCTTAGTTTGTTAGGTGTTTTTCTTAAATGTTCTTTTATTGTTATATTCATATTGTCGCTAAATTCAAATAAGCTGGAAAAATAAACTTTTCGGGCCACAACAGAAAGAAAGCACAATCACTGTAATACTCTTACATTATTCTTAAATTGTTTACCAGCACATTATGTCATTTACTGTGTTACATGATCTCTCGCAATAATCTAGTTCCCGTGACTACGTCTCAGTTACTAATAAAACTCCAGAGTAAAAATTTATATATTAATCTTTAGGGATCTTTGTTATATTTTAATAACAATAAACTATATTTATATTTACAAATTATAATTAAATAATATTCAATTTAAAATACTTAATTGGCTTATAAAATTATTTTATTATTATATAATTTTTTATTATAATTTTTTATTATTACATAATTATTGTTTACATTTTTTTATTTATTTAAGTTTTTGCTTATTGCTGAAGTTATTCTTTCTAATTTTTTATTTTTTATAATAGTTTCAAATTATTCTCAGTATTTTTATAGTTCTTCGGAGATTTTTCTATAGTAATAATTGGTAGATTAGTTATTTATTCATCTTTACTATTTGAATTTTCTTCAAATCCAAATTATTTTTTAATTTTCTTAAAAATATTATTAGTAATAATTTATAATACTTTAAAGATTTTTAAAACTCATCTTATTTTTTCTACTTTACTTTTAATTAATATTTTATTTATTGAAATACTTTTATTATTTGGATCAGAAACTGTTTAATATACTGCAATAGCAAATATTACATATTTATTGGAGATATCTTTCTTTTTTGAGAATATAGGTTATTATGTTTTGTGTTTTTTCTCTTGGACAGTTGTAAAGATTTTCAAAGTATTTAATAGTTTTTTAATATTGTTTTCAGATCAAAATATTAATAAGAATTGCATTTGTATTTATTGTATCCAAATACTCTTTGCCAAAAACTAAAAATATGGCATCACAAACTTTTTGAAACCATAGTCCTATAAAGTAATCAATACTGTTTCACAAGTTTTTAAAGCAATAAATTGTTAAATAACTAAAGAACTAAAGTTATTAATATTATTAAAAATTACTCTTTATAAATATGTTTTTTACAATATGTTTTTCAGCATTTTTTTTATAAGGTTTTTGTAAAACTCTAAATGTTCTTACTGAAAAAATTTCGTGATTTTTTGACAAAAATCTTTATATTCTGGATATATTTTTTTCAAAAAATACTTGTTTTGTGATACTCTTAACTGTACACTATTTAAATAAAATATAAATTTCTGAAGATCTTAGAAAGATTTAAAATAAACCTGGCCTTAATAAAATTATATTTAGTAATTAAATGTTGACTTATATGAATTTCATTTTTTAGGTAGGTAACTTTATTCTCTATAATTTTTTGTCATTCTATCAATTGATTGATTTCTTTATAAAGGCCTTCATGAAACCCCATAATTCTTTCAATAATTTTATTAAGAACTAAATATATAAGTTAATATTTATTTTAAATTTTAACCAATTTTAAATATATCTGAAGTTTCTGTTAATATTTTTCATACTGGTATATCAAAAAAAGATTCAAAAATATGTCTAGGAAATCTTAATTGCTTCCAAGATATTTTTGTTTTTATTTTAATAGGAGTTGATATCAAGAAATTTTTGGGCAAAGATCTTTAAAGATCTTTGGGTATAAATCTTTGAAGCAAAAATTAATATATTAAACTCTAGAGAACTTCAATTTAATTTAATAATAATAAACTATATTTATATTTATATATTATAATTTAATAATATTCAATTTTAAATTTATTGGCTTATAAAATTATTTTTATTATTATTTAATTCTTGTTTACATTTATTTATTTGTTTAAATCTTCACTTATTGCCAAAGTCCTTTTTTATAATTCTCTATTTTCCAATAGTTGTCTTGGATTATTCTCAATATTTTTATATTTCTCTAGATTATCTTTTATAGTAATAATTTATGGATCAGCCATTTTTTCATTTTCGCTATTTGAATTTTCTTCTTTGAATTCAAGTCTTTTTTTAATTCTCTCCTAAAAATATTATTAGCAATAATTTATAATACTTTGAAGATTTTTAAAAATTCATCTTATTTTTTTTTACTTTGCTTTTAATTAACATTTCATTTATTAAAATACTTTCATTATTCAGATCAAGAACTGTTTGACATACTGCAATGGCAAATGCTATTTGTTTCTCAAAGTCATCTTCCTTTGGCCAGATTTTTTTGAGAATAAGGATTATTATACTTTGTGTCTTTCTTCTTGAACATTTGTAAAGATTTTCAAAGCATTCGGCAGTCTTCCGAGATTGTTTCCAGACTAAAATCAGTTACATTTGTATTTATTGTATCCAAAAACTCTTTGCCAAAAACTGAAAACATGGCATTATGAATTTTTGAAGCCATAATCCCACAAAGTGATCGATGCTGTTTCACAAGCTTTTAAAACAAGAAGGTATTTAATAACTGAAGAACTAAAGTTATTAATATTTATAAGAATTACTGCTTGATGAATATGTTTTTTATAAAAAAAAAACTCTTTCCTGATTGTATCCGTTTTTTTAAAAAATTTTCTTTTATAGTAATTTTAAGCAAAAAAAATGGTTTACTCTCTTTATTGCAAGTGAGCCTTAGCTCAGGAACTCAAGAACCTTCAAGACAACTAGTGCAGTGGGATGGAACCTTTGATCAAAGTCTATTCAAGTTTGGGAGTCTTGCTTATCCTTTGGTTACATAAGAAAAGATCTATGGCAGTTCTCTTTTCTTTAGTTCTCTTGTATTTCTTCTTATCCTTATTCTATCATAAAAATTATCCACATCATCACCATTATACTTACTAAACCAAATACTTTTCAAAACACATACTCAAATAAAGTTAGTAAGTCTACTGTTTGTTTTAAGTCAATCTTTATACACAATATTCTTGTAGCAATATTTGCTGTGCCACCTTCAACTTCCAAAAATTTCTTACTCAAGAAACCAAAATTAGTTTATCCTCTCCAGATAATCAACACTCTTCGATCATCCAATCAGATTTAGTTTAATGATCAAAACAAAAACCAAACAAGCTCAAACTGGTTTTGTACTACAATAATGATCACAATAACAATAACAACTAACTCATTACCAATGATCATAACAACAAACAACATCATGTGTACATTATTATTTATAGCACGTAGAAGGACAAAGAGTTGGGATTACAAGCCTACCAGAGAGTTCTTTTGTTCAATGCATAAATCTTATAGTATATTTGATTTAGCAAAATTTTCTGGAATAATAGGCATAGCTACTACTTAGTCTTATCTAACACATTAATATTGATTTTGAATTTTTTTATGATATTAGTTAGATATTAATAAGTAGGCAAGCTAGCATTTAACTTTTCTGAAATAATGAAAGAGATGTTGTTTCTTTTAATAATGTATACCTTGTTATATACAAATCAAAATAAAGAAATGATGTTTACTTACTAGAGAAACTCAAAAAAAAAAAGAATATGTTTTTCATATGTTTTTCAGCATTTTCTTGTAAGACCTTTGTAAAACTCTAAATGTTCTTGCTAAAAAAATTCCTTGGTTGTTTAGTAAAAATCTTTATAGTTCAGGTATATTTTTTCAAAAAATACTTGTTTTACAATACTCTTAACCATGCACTATTTAAATAAAATATAAGTTTTCGAAGACTTTTGAAAAAATTCAAAATGAACCTTACTTCAATAAAATCATGTTTGATAATTAAATATTGACTCATGTAAATTTTATTTTCCAGGCAAGTAACCTTATCTTCTATAATTTTTTGCCATTCTAACAATTGATCAATTTTTTTATGAAGGTCTTCATGGAACTCCATGATTCTTTCAATGGCTTTATTAGGAACCAAATATATAAGTTAGTATTTATTTTAAATTATAACAAATTTTTAAATATATCTGAAGTTTCTTTGGATGTTTTCTATGCTGGTGTGTCAAAAAAAGATTTGAAAAAATATTCAAAAGATTTTAATAATTTCTGAGGTGTTTATGTTTCTATTTTAATAGAAGTTAAGAGTCTTTGTTCAGTAATTGGTCCTTGGATTCTCTGAGAACTCTTTGACTTTTTAGAGGATTTTGAAATACTTTTTTGACTTTTTTCTTTTCCCTTTTTGGTAAAACCAGAAATAAGTTTTTGAAACATTTTATATGTTTTTTGTTTGATATTAAAGAAAAAGTAAGAATTTTAAAGACCTTATATAGTACAAATTCCAGGAAATTATGTCATATTATGACTGCAAACTTTTTTTATTATCTTTTGAAAATTATTTTATAAATATAAATCATTAAGTTATTATATGAAAATAAAATTATTTTATTATTTTATTAACATAATTATTGCAACTTATAAATAAAATTTTTGGTTGGTCTAATAACAGCACTAACACAACAATCATTATAACTCAAACATAACACCATCGCATATATGGATAATCTCAATCTGCTCGCAATATCCAAAGAAGAACTACAAAACAATCTTAACATAGCAATTGAATTCTTTCAACTTAATGATATCAAAGCAAATCCTACCAAAACTAAACTAATCACAATGAACTGTAAAACACATAACAAACAAATATATCAAGGTACAACCACTATCACACCAACACTTAAAAAAGAACCAATACGAATACTAGGCATCTGGTTATCTGAACACAGTATTCTTGCTCCCAACCGCAACAAAATAATAGAAGACACCAAAACAATAGTACAAGAACTAAAATCCAAATTCACAACAGGCCACATGGCAACTTATATCTATAATAAAGTACTTCTCTCACGAATAAAATTCAAACTTCAAACAACTTTCCTCACATCAAATATGCTCAAAAACATCCAAAGAAAAATCGATTCAACAATCAAATACAAATTTAACATCAAGAAAACACTCCCTTAAACATGGTTTTACAACTCATATATCTTCAACATCAAACCTATCAATGATCTTCAAAACGAAGTCCTTATCTCTAATCTTCAGTACTCACTA